ATGCCGTTTATTCTCCGAATCTCCGCCACTGCGAGGGCGGCTGCTGCCGACCCCGCATCTTCCAGGGGCCGCCACCGCAGCTGCCGACGCTGCTAGGAGCTGCCAGCGTCCTCCGCCGCCGCCGCCCTCCCGGCGACTCCGACGTGTGGGGTTTACAGAGGGTGTGGTTTGCAACTGGCACCCTCGGGGGCAGCCTGGGGGGACGGGCGGGGACCTCGATAGAGAGCTCTCCGCCGCGCTCCGGAGGTACCCGACCAGGACGGTGTCGTGCTCCACAGGCCCCAACGGTGCCGATCGGAGGAGGAGGAGGAGGAGGAGGAGGAGGAGGAGGAGGAGGAGGAGGATACCCGTTGTGGTCGCCGACCCTCCGCGAGCGCCAGGAGCCCTCCCGGGCGACCCCCTCCTCCGCTGCGGGCGGCACGGGGGCAACAGCGGGGCCGGGGGCGGCCTTGAGGCGCACGTCCTCTGGGCGGGGGCGGCGTCGCCGCGGCCGTTGCCGCCGCTGTTGCCGCTGTTGCCGCTGTTGCCTTGGCCGCCGCCGTCGTCGTCGTCGTGGTCGTCGTGGCCGTGGTCGTGGTCGTGGTCGTGGTCGTGGTCGTGGTCGTGGTCGTGGTCGTGGTCGTGGTCGTGGTCGTCGTGGTCGTCGTCGTCGCCGCCGTCATATTCGTCGTCATCGTCGTCGTCGTGGCCGTGGTCGTCGTGGTCGTGGTGGTGGTGGTGGTGGTGGTCGTCGTCGTCTACCCCATGAAGCCTGGGGTCTGGGAGCGTCGACCCCCTAAGCTCTCGACCCCTTTCCCTGGACCGGTGTTTTCTCCCGAGTCGTTTTTGTTGACGGTCCCGCGGCCTGGCAAGGGCCCCCTACTGGAGGCCCCAAGTAGCGAACGCAAACCTCTCGTCGTCATTTTTTCATGCCTCGATGGGGGTCTGGGGGAAGGGGGGTCCCAAACCAGTTCGCGGACGGACCGTGCGGTGTTTCCGGAAGGCCCACAGACCTCATCGCTCGGTCCGTCGCCGCACGGTCCTTGGGGCCCTGGAAAGCACCCGGCCGCCCCAGGTGTCTTCGGAGAACGACTCCCGTCGCAAGATCGCACGGCCACCCCGAGGCCTGACCCCCTCGCGTTGAGGAAAAAACGCGACGGGATTGTGTTCATTAATTTCGGCCTCCAGGGGCTCTTATCATGCGTCGGAGCCGTCGAAAAACCACTCAGGATGAAAAGGCGGTCCCGGGGAAGGGATGCAGACCTCTGGAGGTCGACGTTGTGAAAACACACACACACGGCGTCGGGGGTCTGAGTAAGGGGGCACGTCAGGTCCTCATCATCGCCGCCGCTGCCGCCATCGACGAGTACAGCCGAGGGGCAATTCGACAGCCTGCACGGCAGCACGAGCTCACGAGTTCGAGTCTGCCGAACAGAAGGGGATCGAGTGGGCCGTACTCTGGCAGACGATACAGACGGGAATAGAACGCTACGTATTTAACGGGTTCGGGTTGGGGGTGGATCAGGCCCAGAGCGAGGAGGGTAAAACGGGGAGCAAGAAGATCCTCCCACTGGAGGAGGAGGGGGAGGAGAAGGGGGACTGGCTCTGGGGAACTCAGAATGTACTGATACCGCCGCTCCCCAGACCGCTCCCAGGGTGCGTTCTGACCAGAATCTCGAGGCGAATCCGGCGGTGGCGACGAGGGCCTCCCAGGAGGCCCCCAAAAGGGGAAGACGGACGAAGGGTAGCGCTATGGGTACCTTCTCCTCCTCCGAGGCTCACCACACGGTGTGGTCACCTCGCCGTTTGGCGGCCCCCAGCACCAAGGCCGACCCCTAAGACGAAGCCTGGACGAGGATCAACTCTGGTAGGGGCAGATCGAGGATCTCTGAGATCCAGCGGCTCTGGAAGATGTCCCGGGCGCCACGGCCCTCTAAGAGCGTTCCGGAACGCTATGAAAAGCTGCCCAGAACGCTCTGGAACGGATTGATCCTCGTCCTAGCCCCGTCCGGCCAGACCCCTTCCCGGGGACTGGTGGTGCTCCATCCCGAGCCGACGCTCGACGGCCCTGGTGCCCAGCGAGGGCCCCACGGAGGCAGACAGCTGCCCCACGAGTCTCCCGCCGTGCTTTTTTTCCGCCTCGCGGCGAGAGGAGGTGGCTCCGCTTGCCTCGCCCACGCCCCCGCCACCCACCCGCCCGAGGAGGACGGCGGAGGCGGCGGCCGCGGCGGCGGGGACCCTGAGATACGAGCCCGCCCGTCCGAACCACCCCTTCCTCCTCCTCCTCCTCCTCCTCCTCCTCCTCCTCCTCCTCCTCCTTCTCCTTCTCCTCCTCCTCCTCCTCCTCCTCTCCTCCTCCTCCTCCTCCTCCTCCTCCTCCTCCTCCTCGTCCTAGCCCCGTGCCTCCTCCTCCTCCTCCTCCTCGTCCTGGCCCCGTCCGGACCCCCCCTCTGCTGCCGGCGCCCTTCGCCCTGCGCCCGCGGTCCTCTCGGAACGCCGGAGCCCGTGCCTGCCGCCCGAC